GAGGGTTGAAATGCATATATTCAATAATTTAGTATAAACCATATTATATACTAATCATATGACTAAACATATTGAAATAGTAGATGTCAATAAAGAAGAAGGAAGCAAAGAACCAGAAACAACCACTAACATTGAAGAAGAACAAAAAGAAGAAATTGTTCAAGAGGAACCAAAAGAAGAACTAAAAGAAGAACCAAAAGAAGAACCAAACAAGGAATTAAAATCAAAAGCATATTCAACGGAAAAGGTAGAGTGTCCGAAATGCAAAAGGTATTTAGCAACGTATATATATAGACACAATTGTAATGGTCCGGCTGTAAAGAAAGAACCAGACCCTAATAAGGTTATCCGTAGAAAAATAACGCATGAGGGACAAGCAGAAGAATTTAAAGAAGATGTTTATAACAGAGTAAAAAGCGATATTCCAAAAGTGGATGAACAAGAGTTAGAAAGACGAGCTGAAGAACGATTGAAAAACATTTAGAAACAACTGCTAATAAGGTATTTGAAACTGTGAAAGATAGAATAATATGAAGGCAGAGCGAGATAATAAAAATAAACAGAGAATTATTAGTTTAGCAAGTAAAATTGTTTAAATCGAATTATTATATATAATGATCATTGATAAGGAGCAGTTGCTTATGCGTCGTAGAGAAATTTATGATAATGTTGCCAAGAGAACAACAGAACCACAAAACAACGATAAACCGCATATCAGTGAAGTTATTGATAGAAAAGCAGTTTTTGAAACAAATAAACCAAAAAAGAAGAATAGATATAAATCAACTCAACATTACTATTATGAAGGAGACAACAAGGCACATCAACGTAATTATACATATTTTGAAAGAATTACAAGAACAAATAGAATATCATAGCGCTAAAAGAGATTATGCTGTATTTCAAAACAAGCGTAGATATATAGAAGAAGCACAGGCGTATTTTAATGAGATCCAAAGGTTGGAAGGTGAAAAGTTGAGACATCATCCATCAAGTGAAACAGGTAAATCCTGTTCGGGAATGATTGAGAAGAAGAAAGGAATAATCAATCAATTAAGAAAGGATTTTGACTTTGAATAAATTAATTAGATTTGCAAGTTTGCCAATTTCATTTGTGAAAATTAACATATTTATTAGATTGATTTATTAAATGAATCTAATAGATTTATAATGTAATTTGTTTTATATAGCAACGAGATTAGACAATACACAGATGAAAACGCGAAAATCACAATCAAGATTAAGAACGTCTTAAAATGAACTCATCAAGGAAATTACAAAGGAAGAATATAAAAATAGGAATATAAGAGATGTAATAGACAGAAACGCTGATTATTTTCGCGACAGTCTATTAGGAACAGTTTATGATAATAATGGCGTAGATTTGAGACAACAACACTTTCAAAAAATATTAGAACAACCTCAAACAGTTGCTCATTTTGATATGGCGAAGGACGATGAAATGGATGATGTAAGAGGCGGAGCAACAGAAGCTCTGGATGCAACAATGGACAATGCTGAGGAACAACACAGACAACAAATGAGTCAAGTTTCTCAAAGCGTTAGACAACAACATTTTGATGATATGAACCAAAGATTACAAAGAATGAAACAAATTGATGTAAGTTTAGGCTAAGATGTAGCAAATACATTTCAAGGAGCACAAGCTTTTCAAGATATGGCAAATCCTAACGCAACAGTTGCTTCAGGTTCTTCTCAGTCACCCGTGACAGTAGCAAAAGTAATCAACCCACCAAAAGCAAAAAAAAAGAAAGCGAAAGCAAAAGCAAAAGCGAAGGCGTCATTGGAAGCAATAACAATGGATGAAAGCCAGACAATGGCAGTAGGAAGCATCAGAGATGACGCACAAAAACGACAAGAAAGAGACGCACCAGAAGAGATGAGACCAAAAGCAAAAAGCAAAACGAACAAAGAAGAAAAAAGAAGATGTTAAAAGCAATACAGCACACTCCTGAAATAGCACAAGAAACGGCGTCATCATCATCTGGATTACAACCTGACAAAGAAAAAGACGACAAGACACCTGAAATAACCAAACCAAAAAAGACAATACAAAAAGACAAAACAGCACCCTCAAGAATGAATATACAACTGTTGGACGAAGCATTCAAAGAAGGATTGATCAAAGGGAAAATAACAAAAATGAATTTAGTAAATACAAAGATATGTTTGATAAATGGGAAAACAACAAAACAAAAAGGAAGATATAAAACAAGTTCAACCGTTATACCGAGAATTAATATATAAGAATTAGAAAATGGTTTAGACATAAAATAATGCTGAAAGTGAAAATGATGAAACTGACAAAAATACCAACCCTTCAGAAAACAAATGCTTAAAGAACAACTACCTTACTATATTAAGAGAAAAATGAATAAGTGTATCAGAGAAGAATTGACAAAATAAATTGTAAAATGCCGTGGTTGTAAGATTTTCAACAACAAAGTTAAAAAAGCAACTGACATATTTCCTGACTGTAGCATTGATGATATTTTGAGTTTTGTAAATTGTAAAAGACCATTACAAAACATTTAATGAAAAACGAACCTGAAATTTCAAAGAAATGGATAAGTGGATTTGGTATATGACGAGGTTAAATAAATTCTGACGAAAAAGTCATTACGGACAATATTTACAACAGGTTTAGACACAGGATGAAAAACTCAATATGGACGTGATAGTACGTTAGTGCTATATTATGATAGTGCTTTCAAGTTTCATTATAATTTACTTTATCATAACAACGATGCTTATGTGTCTTGCCATGATTTTAGCATCTCAATGTGCAGAGATTTTCTGAAAGCATTGCAGTGGCAATATATAGGAACAAACACAAGGTCGTGTATAAAAAACATTTTGATAATGAGTTTTACCATAAAATTCGTTTGTCATTTGATAGAAAAGAAAACGTTGATTATAGACTACTTTAGTTCTAGAGGTTCTGATGATGTTAGTGATGGTGACTAAGTTTATTCATATTATTGAACTATAATTTGATTAAATCTTGAAAACATAACAACAGCTCTTAACATAGATCTTGATCTTAGAAAAACCAAAAAAACTACTTAAAGACATGTTTACTTATATAATATAGAGAAAATGAACTCTAGTTTTATTTTTACTGAAGATGAACAACATGACATCATTGATGAATTCCTTCAATTTATTGAAACCAATGAATATAAAACACATTGACAAGTGAGATTAACACCTGTCAGTGTAAATGCTAACAAACCATATGAACTACATACAAAGTGCTTGACAAAATGCCGTTTGATGAAAATATTATTCAGAATATCTACTCTATGACTTATGAATGTTCAACTTGTCAAGGCAAAAAGAGTTTCATAGAAGACTTAAACAATATCAATAAAATGAACAATGTAAATATTATTCGTTTGTATTTTACAAGACATAGGTTTCCTTCAATAGATGTTGTTAGGCAAGCAGTTAAATGTGGCAAAGAAAGATATGATATGTTAAGAAAATTCTACAACAATGCAATTATCAAAATGATTATGAAGTAGAACTACTGAATGTAATTGATAAATATACTGTTTATAAAACAGTAGTAGATTTCAATAAACCATCAATCATATAGATCAAATACAAAGAGGATGGTTTAAAGCTGATTTCGAACCAGTGATTACAACACGATCATATCAAGAACGGTTTTGGTAATTTTTACTGTTCAATTATATTTTTGCTAAATAATATGATTAAACCCTCATGTTCCCCCAGAAAGCTAAAAATGGTCTGAAACCTGAACCTTGAAAATGTCAAAATCTTAGACTGTTATTAAATGAGAAAATGTAAAGAATGTTCAGACATGTTTTAAGGGAATGACCCTTTATAACATTACGAATACAGGACTGAAGAAATGAAACAATGCTCTAAGTGTAAAATGGACAGGACTATTGATAAGCTTGAAGAAGGAAGAAAGAACTGTAATATCTGTTTAGAAGCAAGACGAAGATATAACAGAAACATAATGATAAGATAAGTCAGTACAATAAAGAATATTACAAAGAACATGAAACTGAACTGTTTATCAAATCAAAAGAAAAGCGAGAAGAATAATATGTAGATTGTTTCTATTGTAACGGTATAATAAAGAAATATGCTGTAGGCAGACGCGTTAAAAGTGTAAAGCATATTTCCATTATGGAAAGAATATATGATAAACCTGACACATAATGATACGTCGTTTATTCATATTATTTTAATATAACATGATTAAAACATTAACTTGGTCATCTCTTGCATTTCTATTTTTTGGGGGTTAGACAATGAATGAGGTTAAGAGTATTGCCTATCGAAAAAATAAATAAATATTGAATAAGGGTGCCATTGCTTGACTTATTGAAAAATGAAAAATTGTAAAAATGTTGAGAAGTTTTAGAAAAATCACCAGGACCAATACCCTTGTTTTGAACACAATGTTTACCTTGTTTAGTTTCATCCTTGAACCCTGAAGCCCCAGCCTGAAAATCCCCTACCAGAACCAATCTTATATAAATTGTCCCCCTCCCCCATGAAGACGGTGCCGCCAGTGATTTGGAAGCTCTTTAGTGGAACGGGAGAGGGTCTGGGTTGACCTCGTGCTTAAGTTGGCATTGCCAATTCCAAAGTTAGTACTGGCAGTATTTAATCTCAGGCTCCTTGTGCTTGATCTGTCATAGCCAATTCCTTTATTGGCAAGACTTGATCTCAGACCCCTCGTGCTCGATGTCCAATTCTAAACTTAGTGTGGTCACGAATAACTCTCAGATTCCCAGTGCTTCATTCAGTATCCCGAATTCTAAGTTTAGCATTGTCACCAAAAACTTGGCATTCAAGAAGACTCAAAAACAGTGAGATAAACCAGGCACCCCTAAGCAGTCCCAGTGTCTCGAATTAGGAAAACAAGGCGCCATATGTAAAGCAGGTCCAACATCAAGAGTTGTGACTTTATATAAGAATTGCGATTGGCATGCAAGGTCTTGGTGGCCTACGTGCAGCAACATTTTTTGCTGGGCCTGGACACGTCTGTGGATTGCTGGCGACTTGGCAGACCACAAGACCCTGTAGGCGTTGCCCTGTGACACGTTTTGGTGCGCGCTCCCCGAAAGAGCCCCTCACTTTGTCAATCCCGGCAGCTGATGGAGTGAGGGGCTTGCCGGGCAAGTTCGGGGAGGGCAGCGCTGTACCAGCTTCATACCCCATTTTCGTTCTAAACTCCCTGTGCGCATTTGGAACCAGAAAAGGGTTGATAAGTTTACCAGTTGCTAAATCAACACCTAGAGTGTGCCAAATTTAAAGGTGCATGTCGCTTTTCGCAGTCGTCGCCAGCCCGGCCACATCAGCGGAATGTGTGGTTACCCTGGCTTTTCTCAGCAAGCCAGCCAAACAGTTGAACCGCATTTGCAGCATGTCGAAGTGCCTCAACAGTGGCACCAAATCGATTGGGTCCTGACCGAGCTCCGTGTGAGCTGATATAAGAATCAACGCCATCCGGCACACACGTTCACCATGCTGAGTCGGAAGATGGACAAAAACTGTGTATAGATGGCCGCCTTGTGATTGTTTTGTTTTTTTCTTATTTTAGGTCTGAAAACGTTTTGTTTTGAGAATATGGTTTATAATAAAGCGTTGCCTGGGCCCTCTCTTAGTCCTTTCA